ACGTTTGCATTTTGAGAGATAACGGTATTGGAAAGTAATTTGGTTTCTTCTCCAGTCGGCTGGATATAAACTTATAATCTGACCATAAACTCTGCCTGTTATTTTTTTCTCTCATTTAACAATAGAACAGTGTCAATAAGTGCACTTTAATTCTTTTTACACTTTTTATCCTTTCCTCCGATTTTCCCCTTTCTCTGTCCTGCATTCCCCAAGTCCCCTACACAAATACGCGTGGTTCATTTAAGAATAGCAGTGATCTTGCTCACTTGTCTTCCTGTCTTTTAAAATCATGTTTCTGAAATTCCTTATGTAATTGTACCAAAAGGAATCAAGAGCTTTTATTCGTTCTTTTAAGTAAGGGAAAATTCAGTTTTTAGGAATAGATATGATCACAAGACCACAGATTAGCATTGAGTGGTCTCTATCCCAACAATGTTTGACTCCAGACTCATTTATTAGTGTTTGAGTGTTTTATAAAAAGTTGTGCAAGGCCTGCTTGGTTTGGCTCAGTGGATAGAGTGTCGGCCTGCGGCATGAAGGGTTTGATTCCGGTCAAGCGCACATGCCCAGGTTGCAGCCTTGATCCCCAGTAGGGGGTGTGCAGGAGGCAGCCAGTGATTCTCTCATCATTGATGTTTCTATCTCTCCCTTCCTCTCTGAAATCAATAAAAATACATTTTTAAAAGAGTTGTGCAAGAAGTTAAATATTCTACCACTACTTCTATATGGCTTTCCTATTTTTGTATAATGCATCATACTAATGGTCTTACTGGTGACTTTCTTAGTGACAGATCTGATCTATAGAAGACAATTTTTTTTTTTTGCATGTTTTCCTCCTATATCCCAGCCCAATTTACTTCTTTGGAATTTGGTTGCTGGCAACAATAGAACCTATTCTATAATCTGGGTGAGAAAAGTTAAAAAGAGAACTGAAAGTAATTACTTTATTTAAAAATGTTTTTACTCATTGAATTTGTTCAGGTAACATTGGTTAATAATTGAAGAGATCTTAAACATGGGGAAAGTCAGTCATCAGAAGCTCTTTCAAGTTCCATGGGAGAAGTTTAGGGGCAGAAATGACGGAGAATTGTGTTCCTATCAGCAACAGGCAGATTTACTCTAGGTGCTCAACACCAAGAAATGCTTTGAATGTTTCTTCTCCCCACTCCATACCAGTTTTCTCTGAAAAAATAAATCGCTCAAAATGAGGAACCAGCCCTAGCCGGCTATCTCAGTGGGTAGAGCATTGGCCTGTGTACTGAAGGGTCCTGGGTTGATTCCTTGCAGGGCATCTGGCCGGGTTGCAGGCTCAGTTCCCAGTGGGTGGGGGGTCTTGCAGGAGGCAGACAGTCAATGATAATCAGTGTTGATGTTTCTCCCTCTCCCTCTCCCTCTCTGAAATCAATGAAAATATATAACGGAAAATGAGGAACCATTTTGAAATCAAACTTGATAGTAAAAAAAAAATTGTAATTAATCTTGTGCTTTATAATGTTGTAGGATATCAAACTGCTTTATTATGTACTACTTTCTCTCCAGCACTGGGGATTGGACAGAGAATGTTTCCAACTTACTAAAAGAAAACCTCGGAAAATTAGAAATTTCAACATCATTCACAGAGGGTTGTGATTTTTTATTTTATTTTATTTACTTTTAAAAATATATTTTTATTGATTTCAGAGTTGAAGGAAGAGCAGGAGAGAGATAGAAACATCAATGATGAGAGAGAATCATTGATCGGCTGCCTCCTGCACGCC